TGGGCATAGCACACTTAAATTCCAATCGTTGGGCATGCTTTCGTCCGACCAAATTTTACAAAGAAGCTGATGCATGCTCCTTATCAGTTGTTCGCCGCCGTGTTTGAATAGCTCGGCCGGCAATCCATCGGCCCCCGCTGCTTTGTTGTTCTTCAGGCGGGTAACTGCTATTCGAACTTCTTCCTGATCATTCAATGGAACGCCTGCTCCGTCGTCATCGATTGGGGAATCGGGTTCGCCTTCTCCTGGGGTTGTGCGTTCGCTACCATTCAGCAGGTTGGAGAAGTGTTCCCTCCATAATTTAAGTATGCTCTGGGCATCGGTGACCAGATCACCTTTGGGGGTTCTACAAGAGTATGCTCCGGTCTTGAAMCCTTCTGTAAACCACCGCATTTTTTCGTAGAATTTTCGAGCATTACCCCTGTCGGCCAGCTTATTAAGCTCTTCGTACTCACGCATTTCGGCCTCTTTCTTTTTCTGTCTGTAAATGCTTCTCGCTTCCCTCTTCAACTCTCGGTATCTATCCCATCCGCTTGACAGCAAAAAATGTGTACAAAACACACCTCTCACACAGATTTATTGTGTTCTCTGTCTCACATACCCAAGAATATGAAGAGTCATAAATATACAGGGTGGCTAATGAAAACCGCTACCAAAAAAAAAAATTAAATAACTTTTTTTCTATTTAATGAATCAGGTTAATTTTTTTTTATTTTGCAGATTGACTTTTATATTTAACAAAAATGGATAACTGGGACACTGGAACAAGAATTTGGATTGTCCGCCGCTATCACGCACCGTTGTTTCAGTTCAAAGAGAGTATAGGCACACGTTTGGCGGCAATCCTCCGAGCAGATGGACCTTAGTGAGACTTGTAAACAATTTTGCCGAGCATGGGACAGTCAACAGAAGACCTTACCATCGAAACCCTTCAGTTCGAACGGAGGAAACAATCGCTGCTGTAGCGGCTGCTATAYAAAACAATCCACGTGTTTCGACAAGAAGCTTATCTGCTCAAATGGGTGTAAGCAGACAGTCATTACAGTCAATTATGCACAAAGATTTGGACTTATTCCCATAAAAAATTCAAATGGCCAACAAACTGAACGCTGCAGACTTGCAGATTCGCTTGGAATTTTGCCAAAAGATGTTTCAAATGGTGGAA